AGCTCCTGAAAACTGAAAACCTGAGCTCACTGCAAGCTGCAGGCAGCTCAGCAGTTTGGAGCGTCTTTTCCACTTGGTTTTACCAGCCAAAGAGTTTCTCTCGGCGGTCCTTACTGCTTATATATGCTTGCGAACATATACATGTCACATGCTCATGCACACATACACAAGATTAAAACATAACAAAACTATCAACAACCAAAACCAGGACCCTAGATGGAAAGATCTTATTGCGCCACCTAGTGGAAGCATATGTAACATACACAAAACATAGGTCTCCGGAGCTTTTGGTTCCTGTCCTGGAACTAGCTCTATTGAAGCCTCCTGCTCAAAAGAATGGGCTTTGGCTTCTACCTCTATAGCCCTGGGAAGATACATATCATTTTTTAATATATTCATTTATTTGTTTTGGGTGTTCATCGAAGTGGAGGTGATGGAGCCATCATATCATGATGTTACTCTGACTCCGTTTTGTGTCTGTTCAGGCATGCTTTCAGCCTCATTCAAAGCCCCCGATAACCGTACCAACATTGGTGGGGCATTGGAAATTTCCATTATCCTGACCATGGCCCAGATGTATAACCAAAATAACTGCCTAGTCCTGCCAAAACAACTTACAAGGTTGCCCTGACCTATACTACACAAGATGTCATTGTGGGCTTTGTGGTTTATGCCTTTCTGAACACTGCACAGTTGCTGCTTTGGTGCCAAGAGCCTGCTCTCAGTGAGTGGCTTAAATAAAGGACTCTTACTTGGCACGATATGGGAGGTGCTCTGTAACCTTTTCAACTGGACTATAGCAACCTGTGTATTTAGGTGTGTGTGCACAGAAGTCCAGTGCTCATTTATCTAATTCTGATATGTGGGTGTTAGGATTTAAGCTTGGGCCACCAGGTTTGGTAATAAGTACCTTGACTCTTTGAGCCACTGGCTGGCCGAGACATGACATTCTAATCTGCCCTAAAGTGTATCACTTACTAGGGCAGCAGTGCTTAACCTGTGGGTCATGACCCCTTTGTGGGGCTCCAACAACTCTTCCACGGAGAAACCCTGTCTCGAAAATCCAAAAAAAAAAAAAAAAAAAACTCCTTTATAAACTAAACATATGTGCTCACCTAACCTGTTTCTCTTCAAACCCTAAATTAACAACGATGCAGTTATGATTTTGACCCGAGTGACCCGAGGCTGGTCCCACGAGGGGCTGCCGAGGCCCTGGTGGGTGGGAGACAGGCAAATAGGCCATGCAGGGAGATACAGCTTGGGTATAGAGTTTATTTCATGAGTATAAGGTTTAAGGGTAACAGCCAGAAATCAAACTACTGGGCCAAGACTGTTATCTCTGGATATACAGACTTCCTGAGGCCTAACAGTTCTAAACACAGGCGTTATAGTTTTTGATAGAAAAGAGCCATATTTGATTGTTTCTTACATCACACGATTATAAGAAAAAACTATATTTTGCGGTTCTTGTTCTAAGTTTGAGTAGGCTTCTTGAGGACAAACAGCTGGAAATACCACCGAGTAATTTCTATGCTTATACTTCTGGGGCCACTTCGTTAAAGGCAATAAACTGGAGTAACTCCATATATTTAATTTCTGTCGACCTCAACTTTAAGGTCAACAGGTTAAAATCGTAAGCCAAGCCGGGCGGTGGTGGCGCACGCCTTTAATCCCAGCACTCGGGAGGCAGAGGCAGGCGGATCTCTGTGAGTTCGAGACCAGCCTGGTCTACAGAGCTAGTTCCAGGACAGGCTCGAAAGCCACAGAGAAACCCTGTCTCGAAAAACAAAACAAAACAAAACCAAATAAAATCGTAAGCCAAACCTTTCCCTTAGCGACACTGCTGTTCAAACTCCCTGCAGCAAAGGCTCCAGGGGTAGCAGCCCTCGGGGAAAACAAGTCCCGGGAAGTGCCGCCTCCGGGCGAGGTGGGCGGGGCAAGGGACTTCCGGTCGGAGGAAGGCGACTGCTAGTGCGCAAGCGCGAGCCTCATTTCTCGCTTTCTCTCTTCCCCTCCCCCTCCCTTCCCCAGCCCGAGGGGTCCTGAGGTGACAGCGCCTGGAAGTGCGACTGGAGGAGCCGGAGGAGAAGATGGACAGGGCCAGGCCTGGGCGTCGGCGTTCTTCGGCCGGTGAGGAGGAGGGCTTGCGCGAGAGCCGAGTGGACCGGGCTACCTGCGCGGCTGGCGGCCGCTCCGAGGCGCGGTGGGGAGGGCGCGAGGGAGGGCGGGAGGGAGGGAGCGGCGGGGGCGCGCATAATGGAGAGCTCCGGGGCGCGCAGGCACGACCGCAGCTGTCGGAGCAGCCCACGCTGCAGCCTGCCCTTTCTGCACCCCTTCGATTTGCTCCCTCCTGACGAGACGCTCTCCTTGATTGTCTGCGGCCCACGGATCTTCCCTGTTGGCCAGCCGCTGACCTGCCACGCCTTCCTCGTATTTCCACCCGCGTTCGCTCTCGCTTCCACCCACTCCGCACTCGTTCTCACTTTCTTGCGTTCTTGGAATCCTTCCTTGCCTGGCCGGCTTTCTCCCCCTTCCCGAGGCAGCTCGGAGAGGCTGCACGGAAGGAAGGCGGGGCTTGCCGATCGACCCGCTGTTCTCCCAGTAAATAGCCTGCTGCCTCTTTTCGTCCCAGCAGGCTCCTTTAAAATAGCATTTTTCTTTTCCAGCCTCCTGCATCTTCCAAAAGTGATTCCAAAGTCAAAGGATTCGAAGCCGGGCTTTTGTTGTTTTATTTTGATCTCATCACATTTTTGTTTGTAATTATTTCAAAGCTTGAAACTCAAGAACCACTTAAGTTTGGTATAAAATTGATATAGCGCTCCTCCCAGTCAAGTTGTTATACGCGTCGTTTGTTAAGTGCACATTTTAAATCCTTGAGTCAAGTCCCGTGTTCATAGAAATGCAATCTAGTACATAAAACAACATCGACAAATTCATTGATTTTGTTGTTGTTGTTGTTGTTGAGAAAGGGTCTCCTTGTATAACTCAGGATAGCATCAAATTCTCAGGCTCCCCCCAGCCCCCTTGAATGCTGGGGTTACAACCACCCCGTTTTTTCTTTAGTTTTTAGAGACAGCATTTCTCTGTGAAGCTCTGGCTGACCTGGAACTCGCTCTGTAGAGGATCCTGGCTTTGGACTCCCGAGATCCTCCATGATCCACTTGCCTCTCCCTCCCTAGAGTGCTAGGATAAGCCACCACTGTTCAACTCAGCCCAACCCATTTAAAGGTTTATTGTATTGTTTATTTTTGTAAAGCTAGTGTTAATAGTTCCAAATCTATTTATGTATGCCCAGGTGATGTGTCTAAAACTTTTACTGTAGAATGGAAGGAAGTGAGCAGAGATCTCTGAGGACCTGGCTTCACAGAATGGAGATCCCGAGGTCTCTTCATATGCAATCGATCTTATCAATATTTTTTTAAAAATATTTATTTATTTACTATGTATACAATATTTTGTCTGTGTGTATGTCTGCAGGCCAAAAGAGGGCACCAGACCTCATTCCAGATGGCTGTGAGCTACCATGTGGTTGCCGGGAATTGAACTCAGGACCTTTGGAAAAGCAGGCAATGTTTTTAACCGCTGAGCCATCTCTCCAGCCCCCCTTATCAATATTTTTGTCTATTTTTTTTGGATTGTCACCATACAGCTATGCAGCACAGGAGTCTCCTGCTTCAGTCTTCCCCAGTGCTCGGGTTGTAGGTGTATGTCACCATGCCTAGCTTTTTTTTTTCTGTGTATTTTAAAGATCCTAACTGTTCTTTGCCTTTGAAAGTATAATTTTGCAAGACATAAAGATGCTTTTGTGGTGCATGTCTCTACTGATCAGTTTTGTTTTAAGATTCCTGATTCCTGTCTTCAAGAAAAATGGGCATACTAGAAAAATGCAATGTCTGGTATTGTTTGGTCAGTGGTGCCGCTGTCCTTCAATCCTAGTGCTCAGGAGGCAGAGGCAGAGGCAGGCAGATCTCTATGAGGCCAATCTGTGGCCGCCTGGCTAGCTTATGCCCCGAAATAACAACACACAAACTGTATTCATTTAAACACTGCCTGGCCCATTATATCTAGCCTCTTCTTGGCTAACTCTCGTATCTTGATTTAACCCATATCTAGTAATCTGTGTAGCACCATGAGGTGGTGGCTTACCGGGAAGACTAACCTGAGTCCATCTTGGGCCTGAGCTTCATGGCAAGTGCCTCATTGCCTTCTTCCCAGCCTTCTGTCTACTCCGTCCACCTAATTTTCTGTCCTATTAAAAGGCCAAGGCAGTCTATTAACCAATGAAAGTAACCCATAGACAGAAGACCCACCTACATCAGTCTACAGAGTTCCAGCCAAGACTACACAGAGGAACCCTGTTTCAAAAACAAAAACCAAAACAAACAAACAAAAAATACTGTGTAATTTCATTTTAGAGGTTTTTTTTTCACCTTTTAAGATAATGGTTTTATTTTTTTTTCTTTGAGAATTTCTTACATAGATACAGTATATTTTATTTATTTTTTTATTGATTTATGAATAATACCATTCAAAATTTCTACTTCCTTCCTCCCATTTCCCTCCCTCTCCCCCTCCAGTCCTAAGAGAGGGCGAGGTTCCCTGCCCTGTGGGAAGTCCAAGGTTCTCCCCCCACCTCAATCCAGGCTTTGGAAGGTATGGATCCAAATAATCTTGGATCCCAAAAAGTCAGTACATGCAGTAGAGACAAATCCCAGTGCCATTATCATTGGCTTCTCAGTCTGCCCCAATTGTCAACTATATTCAGAGGGTCCAGTTTGATCCCATGCTCATTCAGTCCCAGTCCAGCTGGCTTTGGTGAGCTCCCATTAGATCAGGCACACTGTCTCAGTGGATGGATCAACCCCTCACAGTCCTGACTTGCTCATATTTTCCCTCCTTCTGCTCTTCAGTTGGACCTTGGGAGCTCAGTCCAGTGCTCTGATGTGGGTCTCTGTCTCTATCTCCATCTGTTGCTGGACGAAGGTTGTATGGTGATATTCAAGATAGTCATCAGTATGACTACCTGACAAGGCACCCTCTCCTCCACTGCCCAGGGTCCTAGCTGGGGAAATCCCCGTGGACACCTGGGAACCCCTCTAGAGCCAAGCCTTTTGCCAACCCCAAAATGGCTCCCTTAATTTCCTTCCCTGCTTTCATATCTGTGCTTCCTCCATCTCAACCATCCCACTCCCCCAAGCTCTCCCCAACCCTCCCCTTCTCCCTTCGCTCTCCCCATCTCCCCTTCCCGTACCCCACCCTTATGCTTCCAACTTTTGCCTGGTGATCTTGTCTGCATCCAGTTTCCGGGAGGATCTATTATATGGTTTTTTTTTTTTTTTTTGGTCCACCTTATTATTTAGCTTTTCTAGGATCATGAACTATAGCCTCAATGTCCTTTGTTTATGGCTAGAATCCACTAATAAGTGAGTATAGACCATATTCATATTTTTGGGTCTGGGTTATCTCACTCAGGATATAAAGGCATATACCCCATGCTCAGTCTTTTTTACTTTTTTTTTAAATATTTATTTATTTGTTATGTATACAATATTCTGTCTGTGTGTATGTCTGCAGGCCAGAAGAGGGCACCAGACCTCATTACAGGTGGTTGTGAATCACCATGTGGTTGCCGGGAATTGAACTCAGGACCTTTGGAAGAGCAGGCAATGCTCTTAACCACTGAGCCATCTCTCCAGCCCCCTTTTTTTTGGATTTTTGAGACAGGGTTTCTCTGTAGTTTTTGGTGCCTGTCCTGGAACTAGCTCTTGTATACCAGGCTGGCCTTGAACTCACAGAGATCCACCTGCCTCTGCCTGGGATTAAAGGCGTGCGTCACC